TCCCCCAGGCCAGGCAGCTTCCTCCTGTGACAGGTCTGCCTGTGTCCAGGGGGTGGATGATAACCCCACGTGCATGTGTGCCCTTGCTTCAGAGGACGTGGTTTTCACGGCTGATGAGACAGAGTGGAATGAGAGCGTCCCCCACAGCACTGGCTACCATTACATCTGTTGTGTCGACTCTGTCAAAGAAAAGCCCTGGAACTTTGGTCAGGTGATGAATTGGGCATGCTATGGCTGGGCCAGGCCCCACCTTTTTAGTTAGGTAGTAGCCAGTAAAGGTTAGGCAGAAACATTTGTGAGCCTCATGCCAAACCCCAACCCTATACATGTGACACTTGCCTAGAGAGGGGTAACCCTCCCCCTTAGAACATGCAGACAGGTGGCAGAATCAGAGGTGGGCCTAGGGCCTTTCCCATCCCCCTCTACTCTCTGCCACCCCCACCCCCACTTCACAGTGTATTTATCAAAGAACCAACCACCTAACAATTCACAAGGAAGCTCCATTACAAGTGAAATATTGACAAAGATAAAGAATTTCTAGAACTTTTTTTTTTTTTTTGGCCACCCCTTGTGGCTTGCGGGATCTTAGTTCCCTAACCAGGACTGAACTCGGGCCTGCGGCAGTGAAAGCACAAAGTCTTAACCACTGGACCAGAAGGGAATTCCAAGAACTTCTAAAACTTGAGGGAGATTTTCTAGAAGACTTTGGTCTGGAGGCCTCTGCTCAGTGGAAGAATGAATGTCTCTGTGCAGCCACGAGGCAGAGCAACAATGTGGAAGGAAGAAGGGCTCCATGGCTCTAAATGCACAAATCCAGTGGCAAGGACTTACGGCACCAGAAACTTCCAGCCTTTCGTCTTACCACCTTTTGCAACAAAAAAACTTCTGGAAAATGCCATACTCTACACACATACTCTACACAACATACTCTATGCCATACTCTACACAACTCTACCCCTCCCTGGGTCTGGTTGCCTAGGATAGGATGGAAATGGGGACAACAGAGGGGGACTCCCATGAGTGAGGCCTGCTGTGTGCACTCTGCAAGGCGGTTCACAAGCATCCTCTTGTGAATCCCTGGGGGGCGGTTACCATCACTACTTACAGGTGAGGGGGTGGAGGGAAACAAAATGGGAGGAAGTGGTTAGCACAGGAGGTGGGGAGCAGGTAGCGAGTTGGTGGGGGAGCAGTCACCAGAGGAAGGAAACAGGCAGAATGAGGACCAACCACAGCAGGGTGGGGAAGAAGGGATCACCTGAATCCTAGGTAATTGCCCCTCTGAGAAAATCAAGGGGTAACTTTAACAACCTCAAAGAATTATGACCACGGAACTTTCCCAGACTCTTTCTGAAGAATGAAGATTATTAGCTATTCCTTTTATTTTGGTAGTTTCCCTCTCAGATTACAAAAATAACACAGGTATTTCAACTCTGTAAATATACTAAAACCATTGAATCATCCAGCTTAAAGGGTGGATTTTATGGGCTGTCAACTATATCTCGATAAAGTGGTTTAAAATAAATATATCAGTAGAATTCAAAAAGTAACACATATGTTTGTCCCAGAAGACCTAGAAGGCTTAGAAGATCCAGAGACATGGAAAGAAATGAAATCATAATCTCCTCCCTCAGTGATAAATACTTCATGTTCTAGTGTGTGTCATTCTTTTTCTATTACTAATTCATGCTTACAGAGTTGAGATAATGTTATACGTGCACAACTTTGTAGTCTATTTTGTTTATCTTGATCACAAAGGGATTTTCTCCGTGGTATTAAAAATTCTGCTGGTACGTCTTTATAATGGCTGTGTAATATTCCACCCCATGGCTCTGTGGGTTTACTTAACGGCTGCCTTGGGTATAGACCTTTGAGTGGTTTCTGGTTTTCCATGCTGTGGGAGACTTCTTTGTGAGCCTGTGGGCAGAGTTCCTTGCCGGGAGATGGGTGGTCCCACAGGGTGGTTGTGAACTGCAAATTAGGGAGTATGTGGGGACTCGCCGGTGGTCCAGTGGTTAGTATTCCACGCTTTCCCAGGGCGTGGGGTCAATCCTTGGTCGGGGAACTAAGATCCCGCAAGCCATGCAGTGCAGCAGAAAAAAAAAAAACCAAAAATTAGGGGGTATGTGTTAAGTTTCTGACATGGAACAAACACTTGTTACTGGCCTCTTTCTTCATTTCCCCAAACAACTGCTGCATTTGTCTGTCAAGCCAGAGCCTCCTGGAGACCATGGAGCTGAAGCACCCCACGCCAGGGTCCAGGACCCTGTGTGCTCTGGTAGGTGTGCGAGGCCTAGTCATGGCCTCCATCTCCCCTGCGTGGATGTGCTGTTTGGTGCCCTGCCCTTTCTCTCCTAAAGCCTGCTCTGGGGAAAGCAGTGGCAGGGGGGCCCCTTGATTCCTAGAGACATCCCCTCATCTTGCCCATCAAGTACACATAGGGATGGACATGACCCCTAGTTCCAGCCTCTCCGCCTCCAGGAAGATCTCTGGCTGTGAAGTCAAGGCTTGGTCACCGCTGTTGGTCACACAGGTCTCAGATCAGAAACCTCCTCTTCAGGGAGATTATTCCTGGCTCCCCGGCCAAAGGAGCCTGCTGCTCTCACATCCACCTGCTGTCTTTTCTTCATAGCGCTTGTCATTCCTGAAAGTGTTCGTGCGTTCCGTGTTTAACTGTCTGACCCCCAGTACCCACCCCAATACCACTTCCCAGACCAGAACATGAGCACCTGCTCCTGTGGGGACGAGGATCCCCAGCTCTTACAGGGATCCCACTTGTTTGAACTATAGCAGCTCTGAGAGTCCTTCATAAGTTTTTTAGCCAAATAATAATAAATCATAAATAATATTACAAAGAATACATACATTGAATCTCAGTATAAAAAATTCTGATAATACAGAAGCCTGTAGAGTAACTTTGCCCCAAATTTGATGCTGTCTTATACTGTTTACCAGTTGCTCAGCAGTTATTAGGTGTCCCCCGCCCCGGCCCCCGCCCCTGCACTGTAAGCTCTTTAAACTATACCTCAGTGCTAGGCCTGATTGACTATTCAAAGCTATCAAGAGATCTACATCTGCTGAAGTCTATTTTGAGTGCAGAACCCCAGCCCTGCCACTTGGAGGCTGACCCCACGGCTTGACCTCTCCAAGCCTCAGCTTCCGAGTCTGCAAATGGTATTCACATGGAATTCACTATTCCTGCCTGCAGGCTGGGCTCCAGGTGGGTAAGCAAATTATTCCAGTTCCTTTGGGACGTTCCTGGGTTTAGGACTGAGAGTCCGTGTCCCAGGAAACCCCTCAGTCCTGGGCCCGCAGGATGGCTGTCACCCCTGTCCACCTTGCCCAGAGCAGCTGTTCTCAGATGGTTTGGTCTCAGGTCCCTTTTACACTCTTACAAATTATTGAGACCCCAAATCACTTGTGTTTATGACTTCTTTTTTTAAGGGAATTTTATTTTATTTTACTTTTTTTTGGCTGCGTGGGGTCTTCGTTGCTGCACTTGGGCTTTCTCTAGTTGCGGTGAGCGGGGGGGCTACTCTTTGTTGCAGTGCACGGGCTTCTCATTGCAGTGGCTTCTCGTTGCAGAGCATGGGCTTTAGGTGCACAGGCTTCAGTGGTTGTAGCTCATGGGCTCTAGAGCACAGGCTCAGTAGTTGTGGCGCACGGGCTTAGTTGCTCCGCAGCATGTGGGATCTTCCTGGACCAGGACTCAAACCCACGTCCCTTGCATTGGCAGGCGGATTCTTAACCACTGCGCCACCAGGGAAGTCCCACGGCGTTTCTTTCTGCAAATATTTGTCGTTTTAGAAATTTAAACTGGGAAGTTTAAAATATATTTATTTAACTGATTCTAAAAAAACAATAGTAAATTCAACACATTAACATAAATAACACATTTTTGTGAAAAATAACTATTTTTGGAAGCCGAAAATATGTCAGGAGAGTGGCATTGTTTTACATTGTTCTAAATCTCTTTAATGTCTGGCTTAATAGAAATCAGCTGGATTTTCCTACCTGCTTCTGTATTCAATCTGTCCAGGGGCATTGTTTTAGGTGCAATATAGGAAGAAAATCTGACTTCCCCCAGATAAGTAGGTGGAAAAGGCAGGCGTATCTCCATAGCCTTTTCAGATAATGGTGGATGGTCTTCTTTGAGTCTACACCCATGTGTAACAACTGGTGGTTTTGTAAAGTTGATCACTGTGTGGAATCTGAAACCACGTCAATCAACTTTTCATCTTCGGTCCCTGTGGGAGAGAATGAGAGGGAGAAACACAAATAACGCCTGGGGTTTATTGTGCAAATCGTTTTGGTCACAGACCTCCAGACACCCCGGCAAGCACCCCGGGAGCACTCTCCAAGGCCCAGAGAGAGAGACGGGAGCTGCTCTTGCAACCTGGGTGGTGGGCAGCTGCGTTCATCTCTAGGTGAGTCTTAAATGCCCCCTTTGTGGGGTGGCTGTGACTGTGTACCTGACCCAGGGGGATGCCCCCTCCATGGTCGGGGCTCCCACTCCCTCCTGGCCTGCCTGGTAGTTCCAAGTAAGTGATTGGTATTGTACCCATGGGGCCCTCTCGCTGGCCCTCAGCGGCCCAGGCACAGAGCGCACGGTGCCCATGCAAGGATATGCCTGCTCCTGCCCCTTTACCACCAGGCCGAGTTCTCCAGCCCAGGGCGGTGGGCTGGAGTGTGAGGAAGGAGAGGAAAGGGGACTGGGCAGCCAGCAGGCGAAGCTTGTACTGGTCTTGCTCTAGTTCTCAGGGGTGCGAGTGGACTTGCACCCTCTTTCCAAGCTCTGTGACCCTGGGCGAGGCTCTGAGCTTCTCTGGGTTTCTGTCAGCTCATCCTTGGGTTAATGTGAGGACTCAGTAACATGTAACAAGTATGTGTTATGCCTGACATGTGTGGGCCTGTTTGTACCTATTCCCAGGTGATTCTTATGTGTTGGAGTTGGGAAGCAGTGGGCTAAGCCACTGCTTATTTTGAGGACACCAGCCCAGAGACATGGGGCAGGCGGCCCAAGGTTGCACAGCAAAGTGGTGGTTGAGTCAGCAACACTGACTCCCAGGGCAGTGCTCCCTCCCGACATCCGGGCATCTCTTTAGCCTGTGACCCAAGCTTGAGCACCCAGACCTCCCAGGTGTTGCGGCAGTCATTTCCGAGGTTAGGTTAGAAAAGATTCCATCGCATGTGAAGGAATCTCAGGACCCAAGCCGACTCTGGAGACCTCCGCTGTAGGCCTGACAACTTTTCCCCTCCTGGGTCCCTGGTTAATATTGCTCCTTCACCCCTAGATATATGTTGCTGTCTGTGGGCCTGCAGGAGCTACTGTGAATCTGTGGCCATAAGGCAGGGCTTCTGGTCAGGGCTGCCTGACTAGCACTCCCACCCTGGGCAGGGGAACTGGATGGGCAGTTAGCGCGTTGGTTATCTGCTGCCATGTAACACGTTATCCCCAAGCGTAGGGCCGTAACACAACAAATACTTATCATCTTGCAGTGTCTGCAGGTCAGGAATCCAGGCACGGTGCTCTAGCTCAGGGTCCTTCAAAGACTGTAGGCCTCTTGGGGCTCTTGACTGGGTTGGGGGCCGGTGCTCACACGTGGCTGCTGGCAGTCTCAGGGCAGGGACATCAGTTCCTCACCATGTGGGCCCCTCCACAGGGCTGCTCACACCAGGTAGCTGACTACTGTCAGAGCCAGTGAGCGAGAGAGGGAGACCCTAGGATGGAAGCTGCAGCCTCTTTTTAACCTCGTCTCAGAAGTGACATCCCCTCACTTTGCCGTGCTCTGTTGTCTAGAAGTGAGTCACTGGGTCCAGTCCACATTCTGGGAGAGGGACCTCTGCAGGGAGGAGGAGGGCATTACTGGGGGCCCTCTTAGAAGCTGCCTACCACACCTGGGAAGAGGAATTCGCTTTGTTCCATGGGAAATATAACACCGCCCATTAGGATTTTTGAAAGCATGAACATCTTTGGAGCCCAGCATCACTCCCCATCCCTCCACGCCACCCATTGCTCTGTGGATGCGTGGGTCCAGGAGGCACTGACAGGCCGGGGCCACTAGTTGGGACAGGAGGAAAACATAAACATGTCATCTGCAGAACAACCCTAAAGGTAGGTGTTCTAATGATTACCATTTTACAGAGGAGGAAACTGAGGAACAGAGAGGTCAGCATATGCCTCAGGTCAGCTGGCTGGTACGCTCCTTGGCTCTTTGTCCTGGTCCAACTGCACCCTACCCATGTTCTGAGATGCTCTGTGGGGCCGCAGTGGGGGCTGTGTGGCCAGGCTGGGCTAGGCTGCCAACACCTTGTTCCGCTGGGGGTGGGCACTGACCATCCCCCCTCGGGAAACCAGGGGCCAAAGGGAGAAGTACCAAGGCTGGGGCTGATCACCCCTGCCTGGTGTCATCTCAGAGCTGAGAGCAGTGGGCATCCCAGCACGCAGCATGACCGCCTACGATTCAGCCCATGACACTGAACATAGCCTCACGGTAGACACCTCCCTGAATGAGACGGGCGAGCCATCTCTAGCATGACTGAGATTCCATCTGACATGTCTCTGCCCATCAGAGTGTATTCTTGTTGGTTTTGTGTCAGTATTTCTTTAAGTAGGGCTTTTAGGCCTGGGGAGAGGCAAGCAGGCCTTGCACCTCTTTTTAAAAATGTCCTCATTGAGGTTTTTGTATTATCTGACCAGCCGATTCAACTTGCTATGACCTTCAGTGCTTCCCAGTGCTCCCCAAACGAAATAGCAGTTCCTCAGCCTGGCCTTCCAGCCCCTGCAGAGTCAGCCTCCAGTTCCTTTCCTGACTTTACACCCCAACTGTGCTGCTCCCTCTTCCCTTAAATGGCTTCCCCCCTCCAGACCTCTGCCTCTGCTTTCCCCATCTGCTACTTTCTTTTCTGAGGTCTCTGCTATCCACGTGCCCCTTGCCCCCCGCCCCCCAATGTGTGTTTTGTTTGTTTGCTGTTGCTGTTTGTTTAGTAACTTTCTTGACAGAGTTCTGCAAAGTCTGTATTCTTTGCTGTACGTGGCCACTGAAGTCTCTGCTCAGTGTGCTTAGTGGTCAGCTAATGACTGGACAGGAATTTCCATAAACGTCTTGGATTGATAAGTCTCCTAGCTTTTGCCAAGGGCCTCTGTGTAAATTTGGGGTACACATTTAGTGCTCTGGCAGGCAGTTTTCAACTCTGCCTTAGCCTTCACTTCCTGCCTGTGCAGGGACTCAGGGTCAGTCAGAGGTAACAGCTTATGGCCTTCTAGGTCTTTCCTGGGCATGTGCACAGCCCTACACATGCTCGTGGCTTTCTAGATTCCCAGGAATCTGTCTGAGCTTTTTAAAGCCCCTATGGATGTTATTCAGCTTTTCCTTTTAAGTTTTTTGGTGAGCTTTTTCCCTCAGCTGTTACTGTTGCCTTAGGCAACTTCAGTGATAAACAATGCCTTTTTTTTTTTTTTTGACAAATGCTTCTGGGTTAAGGCAAATTATAAGGAGTGAGCTCTGAATCAGCTCAAAGATAAACCCCATGGGTTGGGGTTTCCAGGGCACTGCCAGAATTAGTTCTCTGTGGTGGGTATTTGGAGATCCAACCCCTTCTTCTCCCTTCAGAGGTGATGAGGCTGCTGGTTTTCACTGTGATTGTGGTGCTGTTGGATTTTAAGGCTACTGTGGATCTGGGGAGAAAGGGATGGGAATCAGCAAGTTAAAAAAAACATAAAACACTCTATTGTTACAGAGAATAAATGCTCCTCAGATAGTTGCAAGCCTTTGGTTAATTTCAAGGGTTCTGAAAAAGTTGATTTTTTTTTTTTTTTTTTTTTTTGGTCACTGAGGATTTGCAGTACTTGCATTTAAGAACACTGCATGGCACAAACACAATTTCAGTCACACATCATCAGAATTATAGTATACATGTTTCTTGTTTAATCAAAAAATTCATGCTCATGCCTCAATTGATAATTTTCTAATTTTGTTTACATAGAACTCATACCCATGTGTACCAAATAAAATATTTAAGGTCTTTAAATTTTTAAAAAATCCTGTAATTTCTAAGTATGAACTATCTTATGGTTTAAACTTAGATGTATTTCTCTTTAGTAACATTTTCATTTTAGAATTCTCAAACAGAAACAAACCACGAATGACCATTAAATAATTCTTTTTAGTTAATAACATCTGATGGAAGATAATATATTCTCATTGGTACATGCATCGGCAGGCGGACTCTCAACCACTGCGCCACCAGGGAAGCCCTGAAAAAGTTGATTTTGACCATTTTTGCCAATGTTCTCATTGCTTTTATGGAGGAGTGAATTTTCAGAGGTCTTTATTCTGCCATTCCCACTGACTGATGTCAGAATGTGCTATTTTTCAGGCATGGTGATTTGAACACCTCTCTGTGAATTCATAGCCCTTGGGTCCCTGGAATGTCCCTGGAGTCCAGGCTGGTGGGTAGGCTGCTTCTGCTTCCGGGGTGCATTGGGACATTGGGCCCGTGGAGGAGCCCTCTAAGGAAACTGCTTCTGGGTCTCACTCAGGCTCCCCTGAAGAGAGGGAGGTCATGGACCATGCCTTCTCCTTCCGCAGTTATGAGAGCGAGTACAAACTACCCCAAAAAGAGGACCTTCTTTAGATGTATGTCCAGGCAGATCCTGTGCTGCTGGGAAACCCTATCAAGTTCACCGTCACTCTCAAAAGAAAGACAGACAGCTACCCCAAAGACTGTCACATCTCGGGCTCCCTTGAACTGCAGACATACACGGGCAAAAACACCACCAGCCTGGGCATCCTTCATAAGGCCACGCAGAGGCAAGGTCAAGGTACAGGAACCATGGGCAAGAAGAGGGATCAGAGTCCCCACTATCTGAGATGCCCCTCTTCTCTGAGGACTATTTCCATACACTAACAAACTTGTGCGTATGAGTAAACACAAACAAACATTTATTAAGTACCTACCACCTGGTAGTTACAAGGAATCTAGGCACAGAGAAAACGGGGGCCAAATAGACTACTAGTCCAGGAGCCTGGGGTCTATCACAGAGTCAGAAATTAGGGGTGCTGGAAGTGTCATTAGAAGTATTCTTCTATGATGGCAAAGATTTTATCTCAAATGCCTAATCTAATCAATGGGTTGTGGGTACCCAGGGCAGTTGAGAATGGGCGGAAAGCCCCCAAAACAACTGTGATGTCTCCATGGACTCAGGATGGGAGCCTGGAGAACGCAGCCAATTATTATTCCACCTTGAGCCCAACTTCTGGTTTTCCAAAGAGAGGAAGAGACTTACCCAAAAGAACCCAGTTCCATCCATCTAGATTTCATCTAATTCTGTGCTTGATGATCATTCATTTGGGGGGGGGGCTATAATAAATGACCACATGCCTCCTCTCTAGCTCTTTGGCAGCATCTGAAGAGACTCTGCCCTTGGACTCCAATACCTACATGGGCAGCCTATGTTTGATGATGAACCAATCATCATAAGTTTCATAATTGCAGGAATTCTAGAGTCCAAGGAAACGACCGCCTCTCAGGAGTTTGCATCTTTCCAGTACCCTGAGCTCCCTGTAGAGGTTAGCCACCTGCAGGCAGAAGGGTCTCCTGGCTGGAGTTCAGCCTTGGCTTGGGGGTGGGGCCCTAAGAATCCTGGAGGGACCCCTGGTTGGCTTATTCTTCAGGTCAATTGTATTCCTAAGAAAAATGACACCTTGCTTTTCCAAATAATTATTTCTGGAGAAGTGATGGATCAAACAGTTTTTTTTTTTTACATTTTTGGTCAACTGAATTCTTAACATTTTAATTTTTGGCATAAGTAATTACTTGCACATTGTACAAAATTCTAAAGATGCAAAAGTTACAGGGGCCCACCTTCCTGGAAGGCAGTTAGCAGTCTTTCATTACCGCTAATGAAAGCGGTAATGAAAGCGGTCTTTCATTACCGCTGGCAGAATTGGCCAGCCACTTATCGGCACTTACATCTTCTAAAATGCCCTGCACATCCCACTTGCCACCCTCACCCAAGTGGCTTAGCAGAGTATTTCTTCCACCTCCTGAGAGAAGTCTGGGAAAATGCACCTCTCTCCAGGCAGTCATGGTTCCAGGGATGTTTGAGGTGCCTCTTTTTTTTTTTTTTTTTTTTTTTTTTTTTTTTTTATTTTTTTTTTT